GGAAAGAAAAGAGGGTTTTTTAAGACGGCAGGGTCAGCTTCATTGCTCCCTGGCCATTCCTGAAGTAAGAGCCGAATATCAATATATACGTTTCAATTTTGTTTGGAGTGCGACAATTGAATTACAAGATTAGTCTGTTGTAGTACAGTGTATTTTACAGAGTAGTCCTATCTGACAGAGTAGTCACATAATAGTCATATTCCCACTGTCCTGTTTAGTTACTGTTATACAAACCATAGTCACATAATATTCATTTTCTCGCCGTTTTGTTAAGAATCATGCTTTTACTATCTGTTAATCCCACTGTCCTGTTAATTACACTGTTTTACAAAGAACAGTCACATAATAGTCATATTCTTACTGTTATCTTATAATCATGCTTCTACAATATGTTAATTACACTGTTATACACAGCCTAGTCACATAATAGTCATATTCTCACTGTTTTGTTAATGCCTACATCGAGATTTGAATGTGACTACTTCAAATCAAAACAGAGACTGTATATGACTAGTAGGCGGTGATGGATGTATGACGTTGTACCAAATGTTTTCAATTTTTTCTGGTATGTGACTACAGTTCTGAAGCAAGGAATTTTCGATTTGGGGGAGTATTCACTTTCGTTCGTCTTCTTCAGCGAATTTTATGTAATTTGTTTATTTTTTTTTAAATTATTTGGAAGCAGTTTTGATAGGAAAGTATATATCAATGCTAATTAATAGCGATTTAGGCTCTCATATTATTAGGGATTTCGAATATTATGGTTGGGTGTTACAAAAGCAGACATTAATGCTAATTAATAGGGTTTAGGCGCCCATATTATTAGGAATTTCGAAATTATGGTTGGATGTTACAAATCGTGATAATTGCTGCAAGGGCAATAGTGAGAATAAATATTATAGGAGATTATCGCAAATGAAGAATTCTGATATGGACATATCACCATTTTCTAACTATGGGAGGGGGTTATTGTTAATGACCCCTTATTGTTATTACTACTCCCTCCGTTCCAAATTAATTGTCGCTTTGGGAGATTTTTATTGTTTCAAATTATCTATCACTTTAGAATTTCAATGAAGCATTAATTACTATTTTCTCAGTTTTACCCTTATTACTATGCATTAGTTGCTGAGAATTAATGGAAACAACATTTATGACATGGACATATTAGTCATTCTATATACTCTTCTCTAAAATCGACACATATTTATTAATTTTCTTAATATGTGTGCAACAACCCAAAGCAACACATATTTTGGCATGAAGTGAGTATTATTGTTAGTTGTTATTACTGTTAGTTGTTATTATTGTTAGTTTTTCTTATTGATATTGTTGTTATCGTTGTTATTATTGTTGTAATTATTGTTGTTGTTCATGTCGGATTAAAGCTTAATATTACTGTGGGTTGTTAAAAATAAAATTTGAAAAAAAAAGTTAAAAAATACTTAATATTACTGTGATTACAACATGGTAGTTAATATAGCGGCAGTTAATAATAATGTATTGCACTTAATATTTCGGAGATTCATGACACGGTCTCATTTTATTTTTTTAAAGGCGTTGATAATAAAAATCAAAAATAAGTAATATTCATATATTTTATTTAAAATAATACAAGTTTTAACCATCTTATTTTATATTTTATATTAAAGATGATAAATTTATCTATAATTTGTATAAAATATATGTGTTTTAATGAGTTAAGACACATATTTACAAAAACTTTGGGGTGTCAAAAGTAATATTCAAAAAATACAATACCTAAAACCTAAAAAAATAAAATTCTTGGGGGTCAACAACCCCTGCACCTTTCAAGTACCCCCAGTGGTTATGACCTTGGTACAAATGAACTCCCAGATATATGTGAGTGGGAGCTCTTGTCTGACGAAACCAAGGATATGTCGAATAAGTGAGATGTCGCGAGTCGCACATGACTTAGCCATCTGTTTGGACACTCTACAATACGAATCAAGGATCTCCTTCAAACTCTGGAGTCCCGATCATGACATCATCATCGGCATAGGTAAGTTGGGAATCAATATTTATAATTGACTTTGGGAACAATATAGTGGACTACCAAATTTTTACAGCTGCCATCGAAAATTTGTGGGTGTTTCTACGAATTTGGGGATTATGTTGTATTATTAGATCAAATATACAAACCGAATTATATGTTGTAGGAAACTCGGATTCCATAGCAACCTACCTCTGTTTGATTTCGATATTTCCATTCATGCTTCTCCATGATTCGCAAGAATGTGATTTTTTTTAACAAATGTAGAAAACTAGGATTCCAACGAAGGTCGTAGATAATTGATTGATTTTTTTAGCGAAATTTTTGAAAGGTGGTTAATACTTATTTTTTTCTTACTAGGGGTTATATCTCATAAACCTTTATATTATACAGGGTATTTCAGACTAAAGACATGGGGATGTGTTTATTTGAAAGATTGTTTTCTGTATGGACCAATGTGCATTTAAATCCTTTGTCATGTCATTTTTTACCATTTGCCCAAATATTAAATTACTCTTCATTAGCTTTAAAAATTCATTCGAGGTGCATTATGCATGATTAATTAGGTTACAATGGGTGCAAAGTGACAAAAAGTTAAATTTTATGACAAGTTATGGGTATCATTTTCTTTCTATAAATAGACCCCTCTACTTGCATCACATACAATTCCATAACAAAGACCTCTCTCTCTCTCTCTCTCTCTCTCTCTCTCTCTCTCTCTCTCTCTCTCTCTCTCTCTCTCTCTCTCTCTCTCTCTCTCTCTCTCTCTCTCTCTCTCTCTCTCTCTCTGAGAAATAAAGAAGATATATAGAGAACTATGTTACTGTGTAATAGCTTAGTTTTCTGGCCAGCAATTAGGAAACCTAAGAACTTATTGTGTTCTGATCATAACCGCAAGTCCAAGATTCCATCCTTAGTAACAAACAAACACGTTAGTTACAAGGCAAGTGCATCTTTTAATGTAACCACCAAAAGTACTAGTTATGATTTGCAAGGCAAGGGTGGTGTAGGGATCATCAATTTTTTTCAAGGAAAGAACATTTTTATTACTGGTGGAACTGGTCTTCTCGGAAAAGGTACGTACGTATACATTATTATCTGTACTACATTCCCCTTTAATTTATATGTGGAAATCATATATATATATATATATATATATATATATATATATATATATATATATATATATATATATATATATATCCAGTGTTCTAATTAAAATATTACAATACATTCTATGTATGTATATATAGCACTTGTCGAGAAGTTGTTGAGGTTGACACCGGTGGGTAAAATCTACATACTAGTGAAAGCAGATGATCATGAAACAGCAATTGATAGAATTACCAAAGAAGTGCGTTATATATATATATATATATATATATATATATATATATATATATATATATGTATATGCTAATTTATACAAAATCATTTTCTTCGTTGTTAGCTTATCAACTCAGAGCTATTCAAGTGTCTGCAAGAAAAACATGGAAAATATTACCAAGAATTTATGGCGAAGAATCTGGTGCCGGTTATCGGTAATATTACTGAGCCGAATCTCGGAATGGACCCTGATTCTGCTCATGCAATTATGAAGGATGTCAACGTCATTATAGAATCTGCAGCCAATACTAACATAAATGAAAGGTTAATTAATTAGTGTGTTCTCTCTCTGTCTCCTTTTTTACTTTTCATACAAAAAATGTCTCGTCGGGCTTGTATATATCAAGGTTCTAAATATCGGTTATCGGGTCCGAGGCGGTTAAGGACCGCCACACGATAAATCGGTGTAGCGGTGATTAATCGGAGATATATCGGAAATAAATCGGTTTTTAGATTTAGTGTAGTATATGTCTAAATATTATTTGTTAATATTTAAAACGTATAAAAAAAATTGAACTTGATTCTCTCCTCATCGTTTATATAATCTAATCACGTAACAAAAGTTTAACATTTAGAACTTGATTCTCTCCTCATCGTTCTAAATGTGTTGGGGTAAATTACAAACACCCCCCTGAGGTATGGTCAAATTACAAAAACACCCCTCTTGTTTGGATAATTACAACCACCCCCTCAACTCCTCAAATTTAGTGGAATCTTCGAGATTATATGGAATATTATCACTTTTGTACCCGTTTGATCTCATTCAAACTCTACATTATAAAACAAGATGATCAGAATATGTAATTTTTAACTTGTATATATCAGTTTGTGGTGCATCGGACACTGTATTTTTACACAAAATGAGTACAAACTATAGCACATTTCATGGAATCTAGATGATTATGTTGAATTTGGCACCATAGGGGTGGAGGTGTAAGAAAAAAATCATAGCTGATGGGGTAGATGTAATTATCCAAACAAGAGGGGTGTTTTTGTAATTTGACCATACCTCAGGGGGGTGTTTGTAATTTACCCATGTTTTAATGATTAGGCCAGGTCTTATACGGGGTCGGTGAGTTTGGGTTTGATTGAAAGAGATAATGGGTTGGAATTGAAAAAAAAAAAAAAGATAAACACCCTATTTTCCTTGTAATAAAAAATAAATAAATAAATGAGGAAAAAATATTTTTTCGATATATCGCTCGAAGTTTGACCCGATATATCGGTTTGACCCGCCACAGACCGCCACGGACCGCCTCACCGTCAAAATACCGATTTTCAAAACCTCCACACAAATATCGTAAAGGTTTATGCCCGCCACCGATATGGCGGCCGATATATCAGACGCCACAACCGATATTTACAACACTGATATATATACTACAAGAAAAAGTTGCATTAGCGACAGCTCAATTGTGACAAATGCAAAAGTTGTCACTTAATGCATACATTAAGTGATAACATTTTTTTTGTTGTTACTAATAGCTCTTTTTGTTGTCACTTAATCCTTATTTATTGTCAGTATAGGGCATTAGCGACACCCCATTAGTGACAAACATAGTGACGACACTCTTTGCCTAACTATGTGAAAAAATAGGTGTTGTCACTAAAATATTTTTTTGGTAGTATATACATATAATAGTATAATTGATTGACTTTCATGGGACTGAGCTAGATATGTATATGACCTTCAAGAGAAAAAATATGTATTTGATGTCACAATCCATTTTTCACGGTTTATTTCATTTGATCGGCACCCTTGTATTTTCTCTAACGAGGTGGATTTTTCTTAGCAATTCGATACAACAGAGGAGTACTAATTAAATACAAAGAAACTACGAATTTTCAAACATTATATTCCTTTCGATCCGGTTCATATGCAGGTACGATGTGTCACTCAAAACTAATGTCAATGGCCCCCAACGAATAATGAGTTTTGCTAAGGCGTGCAAGAGCCTTGAGCTCCTTGTCTATATTTCAACCGGTACATAGAGATGCTTTTTCGAAATTTTAGTCTCATGATTTATTTCTTCCTACAATGTATATACGTAGTTGATCAAACTAATTAAATTCTCTCTCTTTTTTTTTTAAATAGCATATGTCAATGGTGAAAGAGAAGGTATATTCTTAGAGAATCCGTTGACCATGGGGGAGAATAGAAGAAAAGATCCATCTCCGTTTCCTCGTGTTGATGTATCCGATGAAGTAAACCTAGCTTCGAGATCAGGCACAACTTCAACCGGCTTTGATGGGAACAAGTATATGAGAAAGCTAGGAATGGAGAGGTAATTTTTTTTTTTTCAATTTATCTTTTTCTTTTCAATGAAAAAAATCGACGATTTTAGAAATTGCGCATGCATGCGTTACATAAAGAAATATAATTTGAAGTTATTTAACGTAACAGAGCAAATTTCTACGGATGGCATAATACTTATCAAATTACAAAGGCGATGGGAGAAATGGTTATCAACAAAACGAGGGGAGATATGCCGGTCGTCATCATTAGACCGACCATTATCGAAAGTTGCTACAAAGGACCTGTTCCTGGTTGGATTCAGGGAAATAGGTGCATATATAAATTTATTGAAATTATTTATTTATAAATGTTAATAAATTAAAATTAATCATGGATGATAAATTAAAATTAATCATTATATATGTTGTTGTGTGTCTATTTTTAGGGTGTTTGACCCCCTAATTTGTTCATTTGGAAAAGGGCAGCTTCCTGCCTTTTTGTGCAAGCCTGATACCCCTATTGACATTGTAAGTTTTTTTCAAGAATATTTTAAACCCTATATGTACTTGTAGAAATTTTTTTTTTCTTCCTAAATATTATAATTTATTGTTTTTTATCTAGTATGGATAAAAATATTTACATAATTTGGCTTAATTATATTATTTTTTTTACATTATTGATAATCAGATTCCATTGGACATGGTCGTAAATGCAACAATCGCGGCCATGGCGAAGCACGGTTATAAGCATATGCCGGAACTTAATATCTACCAGATTGCAACAAGTGTTTTGAATCCTGTACGAATTTCGGATATGTTCGATTATACTTGTGAATATTTTAGGTCACGACCTTTAATAGAATCCGAAAGTTCTAGTAGAATCAGTTACTACGACAATCTTGCCCCGGTCAAATATTTTGATAATTTTGATGATTTATCCAAATATACACGAGACGAAATTTATCGACGCTTTGGTAGTATGAGAAACGTAGAAGCCCACAAACTACAAAAGCAGTGCAAAGCAAAGATCATGTATGCTGAGAATTTATGCAAGATATATGAATTTGCAGGATTTCTGAAAGCAAGGTATGGGCATGAACTAAACATATTAACACACACACACACACACTTATTTAATTTACATTTTTTTATTCATTATATTTTTTTTTTGGTTTTCCTAGTAATGTTAAAAGTTAAAAATTTATTTGAGAACAATGTTAATTATTTTTTTTGTTTTTTTAGTAATATTATATTGTATGTGTTTGTGAACTTCATTGCACATTTAATATATAGTAAAACAAGTATATATATATTTTTCTTGAAGATATATACTAATCTCTTCTTTTCCTTTAATTTTTTTCTTTCGTGATAAGTATATATTCTAACTATTTAGGATTCATTGCATTCGCCACCCTTGTATGTCCTATGATTGCTAAAAAAAACTTTTTCATGTTATTTTATTAAGAAAAAACCCAATGATTCAAATTTTGTCAACAAACTATATGCTAAAATAACATTATTTAGGGTGTCTTGTGCTAGAAAGAAAAAAAAAAAAGAATCATAAGGAGTTGTTTTGTAAGAACCCGTTTGACTAAGTTTATCTTAAACAGGCTCTTACATTTAATAAACCATTTTAAGAGCTGATAATTTGTTACGTCTATTTTTTGAAATGTTTGGATAATAAGCCTGTAAGTTATTTTTACTGTTTTTAGAAAAAAAAAGTGGGGTATAGTTACTTTAAAAAAAATATCTTATAAGCTCTTCTCCATCAATTTATATTTGAATTTTTAAGATTTAAAAAAAAAAAAATTATCAAGCACTTTGGAAGATCTTATAAGTTCTTAAACATCTTATAAGTTATTTTTAACAGTTTATAAGCTCAACAAAACACCCTCTAACAACAGATTTTTTTGAGCAATTAAATAAAACACACTGGTTTTCTTACAACTAAATTTAACTATTTATTTCCATTTCATTTTTTTTTGGTAAGACAGGTTTGATGCTCGCAACACTCAAAAATTATTGTCAGAAATGTCAAAGGAAGAGCAGATTAACTTTGACATCGACGTAACAAAAATAGATTGGAGAAACTATATTACAGAAGTACACATCCCTGGTTTGATAAAGTTTGTGCTTAAATAAGAAGGGAAACTTGTCTACATAAGGAGCCATGTAATCAGTTAAGCACAAGTTTCATGTTCTTTAATTTTCCGAAGTCCTGATGCCTCGACGTAATGCATAGGACGATTGCTCATTGTTAATTTGTTTTTGTTTGTTTGGTTTATGCATGTGTTTTTTATTCTATTCATATATCTACAATTTGATGTGTTTTTTATTCTCCAACATAAGTGTACTATTTCAAGTTATGAATTAGTTAGAACCCGTTTGGCTAAACTTATTTAAAACGTCTTATAAACTCCTACATCTGATAAGATATGTTAAGAGCTGATAAGCTCTTTAATCTTATTTTAAAGATTAAATTTTAAGTTGTTTGAATATGGAGCTTATAAGTTACTTGAGTATAACTTTGTATTTTAAATGTATTAGTAAATGATAAAATAACGTCTTCTATAAAAAAAGATGGGGTGTAGGTATTAAAAAAAAACACATCTTATAAGCTTCCTAATAATTTATGTTTTTAGAATTTAAGATTTTTTTTTTAAATTACCAAACACATTTTAATAGCTTATGAGCTCTTAAACATCTAATAAGATGTTTTTAAGAACTTATGAGCTCTTAAACATCTTATAAGATGTTTTCAAGAGCTTATAAGCTTAGCCTCATTTTTTGGAAATAATTAATATAATATACTCAAGCGTTTGATAAATGAACCAATTTTGATGAGAGTATATTTATCTCATGAGATCTTTGTTGGATATTGCATTTTATACTATACTAATTTAGTTTATTGCAATGTAGTACTTCTATTATGTAATTTTTACATTGTAAATTACAACTTAAGTTGTAATACTATTAGTAGCATTTTTATATTAAAGTGATTACAACCTAAAATTTTCCAGCTTCGCAGTGACCTTGTCAACCTTTCCCATGTTTGTGAGTTTCCTTGTATATTTTGTACATAGTAAAACAAGTAGACATATATTTTCTTGGAAATATAACTATATATTTATATGTGTTTATAAATTTGCATGTGTTTGTGAGCTTCTTTGTGTATATTTTGTACATAGTAAAACATGTATACATATATTTTCTTGGAGATATAACTATATATTTGTATGTGTTTATATTTTTATATGTGTTTGTGAGTTTCTTTGTATATTTGTACGTAATTCAACAAGTACACATATGTTTTTGGAGAAATAACTATATATTAGTACGTGTCTGTGAGCTCTTTGCCCACTTTATGTATAGTAAAACAAGTACATATTTTTTTCTTGAAGATATACATTAATCTCTTCTACTCCTTTAATTTTTTTTCTTTCGAGATAAGTTTATATACTTAGGTCCCGTTTGGTTGACAAGATAAGATTAGCCAAGATAAGATTAAATAATCTAATGAGACCCAATTATTTTATTGGAGCTTGAAAGGTCCAACAAAAAAAACTCATTAAAAGGCAAGATAAGCCAAGATAAAACAAGATAAGTCATGATTATATAATTTTGGCGGGTCGACCCGGCAAGTTATTGAGGATACCAAACATCAAGTTAAGTCCAACTATTTAGTTAATCATGGCTTATCTTGGCAACCAAACGGGGCCTAACTATTTAGGGTTTATTGCATTCGCCTCCCTTGTATTATTACCAACAACATATAGATGTCCTCATATGTGGGTTTTCCTTTGAATGCATTTAAGTGGGCCTCAAAACAAAAAAAAGGTATTAAAAGCCAAAACACGACACCAAGTCGAATATCCATGAGCTGAGGATAAATGAGGCACGAGCTACGAAGAAAGCCATGCCTGATACAAACTATACCTACGAGCTATTGAGAAAGGTTAGTTAATGAGATTCATCTTTGTCATACCTAAAAGCCCAAGTTTAACCGGACGAAAGAGAGAATAAGGGTAAATAATCACGATTTTTCCGTTGTAATGTGAAGAGAAATACATACATTTAAATATGTATTTGTTGATTTATATTGTTATACTATGTATCAATCTGCCGCTTTTAACACTTAAATCCACTAGACTAATGTGCATGTGGATGACACATGCCTATGATCATGTGAGGAGCACATGGAGAAGTTAGGTGAAGTTAGTTTCTTGGAGGGAAACCTTGAGCTTCTAATTGGATGATAAATGAGGAAAGCACATGGGATCATGTGCTACTGGTTTCTATTTATAGACACCTAACTACTGAGCTTAAAACTAACGCGAGCCACTTAGAGAAAGAGCATACTACATTGGGAAACACGAGAAAAGGGAGATAAGCCAAACTGTAAAAGGGGTTAGGGTCTAGGAATATCTGAGCTGGTAACTGAGCTCTTAAATTGATATTTGTATGGTATATGTGTTGTATTTTAAAAGAGAATAGAGAAATGATTACCAACAGATACACTTACGACGACACATGCCCTCCTAGCGATCATGAGAAAGTTCAGAGTAAAAGGGAATAGAGAAACGACTACCAACAGATAGTTTGGATTCCGCTGAAGATTCTAAAGACTCATATCAGAATGGGCTTTTTGAGTGGAGAGAGTAGGAGTGTGTTCAAAAGCAAATTTGTGTCCGGCCGAAGAAGAGGACTCATCCTTAAGGCCATAGTTGGTCTTAAAATTCGTTTGAGATCTGCGACGCTGCATAGACAGGCTGGAATAGCTTTCCCGATTGCGACATCGTCTTCGTTACGAACATCTTCTTCCCGGGACATAAAGTGATCATTTGCATCAAGTTCAACCATCAAGTTATCTACTGAGTCAAAATCAACACCATCTTTGGAACTTGGGGCTGGGACTACATATGTTGATTGTGGACTCTAGATGTGGGACAACTGGAGATATGGTTACTTCAGCAACTACTATGGTCTTCATATACTTCAATTTCTTTCCAGATTTCTTGCCGGACGATGAGGCGGATAGATTGTGCTTCCGCATCTTGGAGCTTTCAATTGATTTGTCTATGGCCATGGTGATTATGTGAAACAAAACAAGAGAATGAAAGAGAAGAATCGAAAAAGAGAGAGATGAATGAAAGAGAATAGTGGAAGTAACAATGAAAAAACCCTAACCGAAGAGAAAGAGTGCCGAAGAGAACCCGCAGCCTCTCTTCAGAGCGAGCGCCCCAAGAAAATATATGTCGCATGTTGCCGCGACTTAGAAAATTCTTGGAACGATTTCCCCCAAAAGATGCCCAACGCTGGTCACCTCAACTTAGCCTTTCTCCGGAGCAAGGGCCCTGCAGAAACGCATGACGTTGGTCGTCGCGATTTAGCCTCTCCTCAGACTACCTTCGAAAGGATGATCACCAACAACAAGCACCTTCAAGGGAGCGGGAGATGCATAACCGTCAAGGAAAAAGTGGCGACACCCTTCCACCACCACGGAGGCCGTAATCGAGCTGAAGAAGCCTTCTATTTACCAGAACCGCCTTGAATATCGAAGGCAACTGGAATGAGATCTGTTGCGGATCAAGAAGATGACTACGTATTGGAGGCCCTAATGGATCAAGAGGCAACCAAGGAAAAACATTACATCACTGCTCAAGGCATCTCTCTAGAAGAAGATCCAAGCATGTCGGCTAATGACCCATCGATATCATCTCCAAGTCGCCCCATTTCACCAATTGTGGATTTTACGAGTCCAAGGAAAGAGTACCATTAAGCACCCAAAGCCTCTCCATAGCAAGCGTCTTGAAGAAACTCCCACCACCAGCCGCCGCAACTTAATTTCTCCTTGGAACGAACTCTCCTGAAAAATGCCCGACACCGATCACCTCAGCTTAGCCTCTTTCCAGGGCGATCGGCCAGAAGAGAAGTCTGCCGCCGATCGCCACAACTGAGCCTTTTGTGGAATACTTCATTTGAAGGGATGATCGACAACGAAGCACACGCTCAAAGGAGCGAGAGATAGGCAACCGCTAGGAATGCGAGAATGCAAGAAGACGTTGGATCGAAGCACCTGATCCGACGCCCTTCAAGGTCCCGGCGAGAATAAGCTCAGTTATTCCGGCCATCTTAGAAAAAGTATGGTCTTTCGGATTTCAAATCCCCGATGTTTTGTCATACGCCAAGACTGGAGCCTACCTTTTCAAGGTCGTTCAGCATGAATGTGAGATGCTCAGAAATTATGTGCAACGGTTCGTTAACGCGGTGCATAAAGTATGCCACATCAACAACAAATTATTGGCGGGCATCTTGATGAACCACTTGAAACATGCACGCTTCCAAGAGTCCCTCGTTGGTAGACCACTCTCGACTCTGGACGAGTTCCTCGGTCTAGATGAGAACTACATTCAGATTGAAGAGGCTTCGAATACGGGCTCGCCCATGAAGGAAAAGCGCAAAGATGAGCGCCACGAGAGAGAGAGAGAGAGAGAGAGAGAGAGAGAGAGAGAGAGAGAGAGAGAGAGAGAGAGAGAGAGAGAGAGAGAGAGAGAGAGAGAGAGAGAGAGAGAGAGAGAGAGAGAGAGAGAGAGAGAGAGAGAGAGAGAGAGAGAGAGAGAGAGAGAGAGAGAGAGAGAGAGAGAGATAGAGAGAGAGAGAGAGAGAGAGAGAGAGAGAGAGAGAGAGAGAGAGAGAGAGAGAGAGAGAGAGAGAGAGAGAGAGAGAGAGAGAGAGAGAGAGAAGGTGCCCTTTCATGTGAGGCAAAACTCTTGGATGTCTGCGAACACCTTCAAGGAAGCAAGAAATACGTAGTCCGCCTAGGTAAATGTTGCGGTAGGCGGCGTTGGCACTTGAACACATGAATGAGCGCTAAGTACTTAGAACATTGAACACTCAAAATCTGAAAAGTGACTAATGAAATGTCTTAAAAAAACATCTTCAAATAAGATTTGTGCCCAATGGACCCACGATTTATTTATTTACTGGCCCAATTCAAAAGTTATTACTACAAATGCCCAATCACCTTCAAATAAGATTTGTGCCAAATAAATTGATATCTACCCAATCAAGGAACTATAAATAGAACTTAATTCATTAAATTAAGGTACGTTATTTTCACTCAAGCAATCCAGCTACTACAATTCTCTCAACTATTTCACGATCCAAAAATCTGACTTAAGCATTGAAGGGGCTTCCGCCGGATTATCCCCCGGCTTAGTTCACGTTTGCTTTTATGAAGGAATCTCCAGATTATTATGGTGTCTCAAGACTATGTAGCACGAGATTAGTGACCCGATTAATCTCTTCGACTATATCTATTATAGGTGATTATTACACATCATCATTTGGCGCCGTATGTGGGAATCACTACTAGATCACGTGGCAGAGAGGATGTCGTTGGGACATCTGCACAAGGGGAGAACGACACAGCTACCAATCATCCGCCTCGCGGTGGTTCTGGCTTTCCTCTCCGCCCCCTCCCCAAAATCAAATTCCACCACAAGACCCTAATCAAGAGGCCCCACCGGGAATTCAAAGGGAACAACATATTCCTACTCGCCGAACGGTTCAGGTAACCGAAGAAGCCCTTAAAAAACTGATCGAGGAGGCTTCAGCTCGTGCTTCAATGGCAGTGGCATAGTACATCGCTGCAATGGGAGCTAATGCTCATTTTGTAGCTCCACTTGGGGCGCAACCACGAGCTAACATTCCTCTTGCAGCTCCACCCGGGGCGCAACCACCACTACGACCACAAGATAACGAAATCCACCTAGTTGGGTCGTCGGCATCTACTTCAGACCCCAGGTCTCTAATGCGGGCTCGAACTGACCAACAGCGTCGACGCCCACCTTCAAGAGGCCATGCCTCTCATCAGCAATCTCATCCACCTGAGGCTGGAGAAGAAGAAATTAACAGTAAGGTATCTCACCCGAATCCCCTTCCTCGAATAGCTAACCCTATCGTAGGAGGAATACCAACTCCAATGAGGCGCAGTCCATTTACTCCTGACATACTCAATGAGATATTACCTCAAGTAGTAAAAGGCTCGGGCTTATCTCAATTTGACGGAACAACTGATCCACATGAGCACATTGAGAAGTTCCATGTGTTGGGAATCTGACACGTGTACGCAGCGGAAAATAAAAAAATTATGCGATTTAAACAAATTTAAAACACATAAACACATGCCCGATAATTGAAAACAATTAATTGCGTACCTTTGCGCTTCCAGCGACATTAAAAACAAAATACATGCTTAATTACTCAATCGAAATTAAATCAATTAGCATGTTCGCATTTAAATCAAATAATCATGCTCGCAATAACGAAAACAATTTCATGTAGACACATAAAATCATACATGTTTTTTATAAAAACGAACATGCATATATTAACTTAAACGAAAACATATCGAACCACAATGGATTCGAATCTTTACCTCTTGAAGCGTGAGGTAGGCGCACTAAGCAAAGCTAGATTGCCACGGAAACCAATCCGTGCAATCCGGGGCAGCAACGGCGATGCAGCACCGGCGATGATCCGAGCTACGGCGGCGCGTGTGGTTCACGCGCTGTCTTCGGGTGGCGCGTGGAGGCGCGTGCGTCGTCGGCTCGGTGGCTGCTCCTCGATTCTTCGATCTTCCTCCTCTCGGATTTCACCTCGTATACTTCGATCTACTAGAACGTGGCACTAGACATGTAATAATTAGAAAAACGGAAGAATAGAAAAGAGGAAAGAATTACAAAAAAGATCGGCCAACGGATGGCCGATTCCGGCGTGATGGTGGCGACGGCGGCGGTGGTGGCCGTGGGTTGAGATCGGCCGAGAGAGGTGAGAGCGCCTAGGGTTTAGTTCGTGTGTTCTCTTTGTGCAAGACCTTTAAATCAAGTATTTATAGTATCTTGCATAAAACCCTAACGGGCTTAAGTTGGATCGGGCCCAACAGCTTAAGTTCGTTAGTTCTTTTACTTGCTCGTCTCTCTCAATTCGATGATCGGAAAATTATAACAATTACATTTTCGGAATCATTATAATGTCCTCTTCATTACGAGTTCGATTTCCAACTTCCACAAGTGGAAACCCTAATTCAGTGCACTTTCTAAATTTGGAAACTTCCCGATTTAGAAAGTCCACTAAGATGTTCGCCTATTCTTTTCCTTTTCTTATTCTCATTCATAACTCCAAATTGCGAATGTTGGATCCAATTATATTGACTTCCAATCATCCAAAGATAAAACATTTTTACCTTTAACCGTTTATTCAAAGATCTCATGTGCACGAGCAGTGTGACCCTCGATGGTTCAGGTGTAAGCTAGCCGTGGGCCAACAACCCTTTGTGGTCAAAACTCGTCCCTTAGAGTTACGATTAAGGTGAAACTCGTTTCACCTTAATCACCCAACGAATCAAGATTGGCGTCAAGCAACTACACGTCATGATTCCCTAGATACAAATGAAGTGGCTGCACGAACCTTCAGATATAATTAGCATACAGTACGATCCCTTCGATTCATATATCCCGATTGAACTAGAGGCATTGGTTCATCGAGACCTCTTTATTTGTTCAATGACGGTGCAATCGTTCTAAGTGTTGTAATCGTTACGTGCATACTTAGAGAATCAAATTCTCCAATCATCACTTAGTCAGCTCTGGCCAGAGACTTAGAGAGATTACAAACTGTAAGAACACACAGGACATCCAAGACTATTCTAGCGATCGAATCCCCGACTACAATGCACAGACCTCCCACTAGATTTCGGACTGCATGAACACTGGCCCTTGGGGCGGTCCTTGGTGGAACTCAGGGACATGTCACGATACAGCTGGTCCTCTAGTGAAGTCACGGTAAGGACTAATGGTGTACAACTATACCATAGATATCTCTACTCGATTATTGGGAACCACTTAGAGATTTCTAGGGTGAGGAAGTTCAGTGAACTCGTCAACTTACGAGCGCCCACTTATGCATGCCGATATCACAATACCGTTTACTGATGAGATGCAGTACACATACACTAAGTGCTAGTCTCTTAATGGGAAAGGCCGATATCCTCATTGGTTGAGTAACCCTTCGACTAGGCACACATTTAACAGTTATAATACTTAAGTAAATATCTCACGATCCTAACGATCAATTACTAGTACTTGTAATAACTGTAAGGACTATATCTATGCTTGTAACAAATGGACAAAGATATAGAATGCCAAGGTGTTTTATCATTAATACGAAGAAAAAAAAGTTCGTTTGTGACCATAATAAATACGAAAGACCACAGCCACATGTTGGCTTGTTGGCCACCTACTCTTACACCTATTGCAAATCTATATGGCTCGACAGATGCGGCGATGTGCAAGATGTTTCACACAACACTCTCAAAAAGAGCCATGAACTGGTTCAACTCATTGTCCAATGGATGAATCGGAACCTTCTCTCAATTATCCGAACGTTTCGCCAATCAAATCGCCATGACAAGCAATATGTTAAGACTCCAGCACACCTATTCAGTGTTGAACAAAGAGACAATGAGTCCCTCCGCAGCTACATCAAATGATTTGTTGAAGCCGTTCATGAAGTTCCCAGTGTAGGAGAGAGATGGTCTTAGGAATTATACAACAGAATTTAAAAACAGTTGGATTTAAGGAATCTATCGCAGGAAAACCTCCAACCAGCTTGGAAGAATAGTTAAATCGCGCTAAGAAGTACGTGTGCATAGAGGAAGCCTCCACCCTTGCCCCTCCTAAGAGAAAGAGAGAAGACGATCGCCCCGACCATTGAGGTCGAAATAACCGACGTCCACCACTAGCATCAAAGGGCCAATTCTCTTCTTCCATTCTCGGTACACTCCTGTCAATACCCGCCTTACCGAAATCCTCCATATTATGGAACAAAAGGGTTTGGCGGAGCCTCCACGTCTTATGTATCCCAATGTGAAAAGACAAATGTCAGATCGCTATTGTCGTTTCCATAAAGATACAGGACACACTACTGAAGAGTGTGAACAACTCAAGTTGGCAATCGAAAGGTTAAACAAACAAGGACACTTGAGCGAGTATATAGACAAGTCTCAAAATAAAAGACGGGAGGATCACCCATGTCGATATAACAATAGAGATCAACAACAACGTCAAAATGAGGAACCTCCTCGACGCGATCGAGATGAAGATGATAATCAACCTACCGGAGGGGTCATTGACTTCATTTATGGAGGACCAGCAGGGGGCGATTCACAAAACGCGAGACGCGCCCTCGCTCGATTAGCACGCGTGAGTCAGAATCACGCATCTTTTTCCAAATCCATCTATCAGGTACATAAACGTGATACCAGCATCGTCTTCAACTCGTCCGACCTTAAAGGCCCAAATAAAGATCATGTCGATGCTCTGGTAATCACAACTTTCGTGGCTAAATTTTTGGTTAAGAAGATATTAGTTGACGGTGGGAGCTCAGCCGATATCATGTATCTGCATACATTTAAGCAGTTGGGCATAGATAACGCCCAATTTTGCCTCGTCACTACACCACTAAAAGGATTCACGGGAGAAGGTGTTTAATCAACAATATTTTCAGATGGATAAAAACAAGATAAAATACAGCACACATGCATAATTTAATCAAGTAGACTACACGAGAGAATATAAGCTGCTGACCCTCCAGAATCATATGCTTCGGAACTCTAAGTCGCAAAACCTCGGCTCATTAATCTGATTCTCCATATTCTTTGTAATCTTGAAAGTCGCACATACAAGATTCCATACATAGGGAACATCGAATGTCGGAGCCTTCACATAGAAAAATTAAGACCTCCATTTCCCGCAGACCATCTTAATCGCCTTCAAACATTTGTATGGAACCCGAGGATGTGTGCAGAAGAACGGTAAATTATTGGCACGATGAAATGTAAACAATGCCTTGAACATCTCGACGCTAACCGGTAATCCTACTTGCATCATTCTTTGGCGAAACGCCTCGAAGGTCAAAATCACGTTCGGAGTTAATTGACTATACGCTATTCCAAACTCCTTGCATATCTTCAAGAGGGTCGTTTCAGGCACAATCCGCGAAGTACACATCAAATAAGCGACATACAACGTATCGAATCCATCGGTGGTGCATATAATCGCTCGCCTTTTTTGGGCAAACACATCTCAATGTTATTCGGAGTGCCACTTACTTGAGGAAGAACCTGAAATTGCTGCTCGGTCAGCAAGCTATCAAAATCGACCAGATCAAGATTAATCGGTTTAGTTTTCTTCCCTCTATTTTTGTCTATAATGACATCTTCAAGCGGAATATTATCATCACCTTCCACGTCACCATCCAGATTTAATTCACTCTCCGACCCCTCAGACTCATTTGACGAACTTGACTTAACTGATTCTTCACTTTCACTCCCAAAATAGTATCAACATACACATCAAAGAGTTTTTTGTGACCCCTTTATGAATAAGTATCCTGTTAAGTGTACATTTTTACACTTAATCATACCTTCTAATTGGGGCTTTGGGTGTGTTTTAACGATAATTGGTGCTTAAAATGGTTAATATTTGTATATTAGGTACAAATTGAAGAATTGGAAACTTATGGGGTAAAAACTGCAATTTTGGGGAAAAAGTGGGCCAAAAGTAAAAAAAATCAAAACTTTGAAGACTTAAAGACCAGACGGCCGTCTGAATTTCAGCGTTAATTCTAGAACAGGCGTCCGGGTTCACGAAGAGGTGCAGTGAAGGAAGTTTAATTACACAAGGAAACTGTCCTCTTATATTTTGGCACCTTATATAAAGGCCAAGAAAAACACACAATTGGAATCTTATGATCTTTTTACGCGCAATCTTGAAGCAAGAGAACGAAGGAACGAAGACGAAGACTTAACGAATCTTCATCATAGTTCTCCCTTTTACTTTTATTCACAACTTTTATGATTTTTCGTATTTTTATTATGCCTTTCGTAGAGAACATGAGTAGCTAAGTTTTTAATATAGGATTTTGTTGGAACCCTATGTGGTGATTCGAACCTATTTTTCTAATATTATGCAAGTTTAAATTCCTCGATTATTTCTTCTATTTTGATCTTATTTAGCGCATGAACGTAGCTAATTTATGTTGCTATGTGTTATTGTTAGAATTGAATCGACAGATCGTTTTAATAATTAGAACAAGGATAGAAGAGCCTTCGAATAGTTTTCACCGGATGAGTGTGTCAATTGCATGTGTTATCGTAGACATACAGATAATACCTTAGGTAGCCGTTTACGAGACTTGTTATTTAATGCTTTATTCATAATTGGTTTGCATAGACATACAGTGAATCGTTTATGAATAATAGACTCATAATACACGCGACAGCGGGTTATGAGTAATTTAGTGTCTTGGGTTAATAATCAGGAATCGTAACTTGCAATGGGTATTGAATTATCGCATAGGGGAAGATAAAATCCTAGATCCGTTTTTATATTGATATTTTTTTCGTGATTATTTGCTTTCTTAATTAGTTTAATTTTTTAATTGATTTAAATTGACAACCTTGCGTAGGCTAGATAAAAATCATAGTTGTTAGAATTTGGTACTTAGGATTAGATAATTTGAGTATTCCCTGTGGGATCGACATCCGACTCTCACGAGTCCACTTTTACTACTTGTTTGCGATACGTGCACTTACGTGTTAGGTATTTAGATCCAACAAGTTTTTGGCGCCGTTGCCGGGGAATACGGATTATTTATTTATCCTAATATTAAATTTGAGCAATTTTTCTTACTTCAGCCGTTTTATTTATTTTATTTAATTATTTTATTTGCTTATTTTATTTTTATTATTTTGTTTAGGTACTTTTTATGCGAAGAGGACACGACACGAACTTGCTACCTCTCGATCCCGAAATTGAGTGAACGTTTAGGCAAGGCAGGAGAAATCAACGGTAAGCTCAAAACGCTCCCGCAACGATGGAAGAAGAGATTAATCGTAGGGGAGATGATCAAGGGCGCCTACCGAATGCGGCGGAAGAAATCGTCAATGAGCAAGAGCAACGCCAGCTAATTAATCCACCACCTCGTCAACAAGCATTGCATGAGTACACCGTTCCAACACTCAATGGGTTTCAATCAAGCATCCAGCAGCCCCCCATTGAAGCCAACAATTTCGAAATTCGAGCGGGACTACTCACTATGCTCCAAAACAAAGGGTTATTCAGCGGATTGGCTCATGAAGATCCACATCTCCACTTGGTCAACTTTCTCGAAACGTGTGATTCGCACAAGATGAACGAAGTATCACCCGAAGCACTGCAACTCCGCCTGTTCAAGCACTCCTTACAAGGAGCAACCCGAGAATGGTTACAAACTCGCGCACCGCACTCCATCTCGTCTTGGTCCCAACTAGCACAACTTTTCATGAACACATACAACTCCCCAACAAAAACTGAGAGAATCTGGAGAGATATACAAAACTTCATACAAGAAGCCCGTGAAGCATTATTCGAGACGTGGGAGCGGTTCAAGCAATTAATAAGGAGTTGCCCGAATCACGAACTTCAAGAGTGGCGCCAACTGCAAATATTTTACGATGGATTGCAAGACAACTCGAGGACCGTGCTCGACTCTGCAGCTGGAGGAATGTTCATGAGTTTGACCTACGACAAAGCATACGAACTTTTGGAGCGAATCGCTAGAAATAAATACATGCGGGCATCGGATCGGTCAAATAGCGGAGCCGTTAAAACGGGAGGAATTTTGGAGGTACACGGGGTCACTGCAATCACGGCCCAGTTAGAGAAGCTATCAAAGCAAGTAGCGGCTTTGCAGACTCAGCAAGTCCATGCAGTCCAAGCTCCCGACCATTGCGTAGAAGAAACGAAGTCTCTAAATTATGTGCATGACACCAACCGACAACAGAGGAACCCGTACTCCAAAACTTATAACCCGGGATGGAAAGATCACCCTGACTTTGGGTGGGGAGGAAATCAGCAAAGACAAAGGCAAGCACCACCTCAAGGTCAACCTCCTAATTATTCACGGCCAGCTCCCGGATTCCAAAATCCGCCTCAAGCTCCATCTCAAGGTGGAGACCTCGCAAATATCTTGGCCCAATTTATGACGTCTACCCAAGAATCCATCCGAAATTTGGAAACACAGATGGGTCAATTTGCAACCCAACTAAACGCGAGGCCAGCCGGTACGTTACCGTCAAATACGGAGAATCCTCGAAAGGGAGTCAACGAGCAATGCAAGGCCGTAAGCTTGAGGAATGGGAGACAATTGGAAGAAGTGACGAAGGAGGCAACAAACAAGGATGGTGGGGAACAACAAGAAAAATAAGTTGAGACTCTGACAGATCCACCAAGTGAGAAAAGGGTCGTTGCGCCTAAGCCGACCCCACAGGTACCTTATCCTCAACGCCAGATAAAGGCGAAGAATGAGTCGTATTACAAAAGTTTTCTTGAGAAATTGAATGAATTACATATTAATATTCCTTTCACTCGAGCACTTGAACTAATGCCTCAATGGGTAAAATTTTTGAAAGACATGGTATCGAAGACACGGAAATTCGGTGACCATGAGATGATAGTCTTAACCGAGCAATGCAGTGCCATTCTTACTCGCCCAATTCCACCAAAGCTTGGAGACCCGGGTAAGTTTACGATTCCAGTCGCTATCGGAGGTAAGTTCTTTGCAAAATATCTAATAGATTTAGGAGCAAACATTAATCTCATGCCTTTCTCTGTTTTTCAAAGTTTGGGATTAGGAGAAATAAAATTGGTATCTGTGACTTTACAGTTAGACGATAGATCACTCATATACCCAAAAGGAATAGTAGAGGATGTGTTAGTTAAAGTAGATAAATTCATCTTTCCTGCAGATTTTGTAGTTCTTGATATGGAAGAAGATAAAGAAATTCCTTTGATTTTGGGAAGACCTTTTTTGAGAACGGGTAGAATTATAATTGATGTGTATAATGGAATTTTATCTATGTCTTTGGGGGATGAAACGATTAAATTTGATGTTTTCCGTACAATGAAGGACCCTCAAGAGGGTGATGAGTGTTTTGCTTTTGATGTGTTAGATCAATTGAATTTTGATTTTATTGAACCTTTAATTGCGGATCCGTTGGAAGCATCTTTGAGTGCAGGAACATCAGTTGAGGAAGAAGCAGTGACGGAACAATTATAGTGGTTGGATTCTGTTGGGTTTCGGGCACGCATACGCAGCGGAAAACAAAAATATATGCGATTTAAACGACTTTAAAACACATAAGAACATGCCCGACAAATTAAATTCAATTAATTGCGTACCTTTGCGCTTCCAGCGAAATTGAAAACAACATACATGCTAATAAATTCAATCGAATTTAAATCAACTAACATGCTCGCGTTTAAACCAAATAACATGCTTACAATGATTTAATCGATTACACATAATCACATAAAATCATACGAAACAAACATGAAATAATAGTTTAAACATAATCGAATCGAAACTAGGGTTTCGCGTGTTTACCTCTTGAAGCGTGAGGTAGGAGCGTTTAGCACGTCGTGATTGCTACGGAAACCAATCCGTACAA